TCTATTTCAGCCAGGCAAATCAGTAATTCTTAAAGGTGAGACCAGAAGCAACAGTCAGATCAGAAAGATGGGCTTAAGTTCAAAGAGTGAAAAGATTGCCAGCTTGTAAATTGGAGAAGGTACCTAATACTGGAAGTGCCTAGATAACTGCATAAGAATCAGCTCATGAAAGTTAAATGGGGAAGGGATGGGACTGAAATCCCATCTACAGAGAAAGGAAAACACCTTTGACAGTGGGCAAGAAATGGCTGCAAAGGCTGCATTGCTTGAGCTTGCTGGTATAGGAGAGAAGTAACCACGGGGCTGGAAGAAGCCAGGGCAGGAGGGACCCCGGCTGCTCTGCGGGGAGAACTGGGACTAGCTGATCAAACTGTCAAAAGAGAGAAAAACAATGGAAGATTAAATGTCTGGTAAGAGAGAATAAAATAAGGAGAGAATAGGAATGAACAATACAAATGTGGAGCAGTGATATTTTGGGAGGAATCAGTATAAAATGTGGCTGTTAAGTGACAGAGAGCTGAGACTACATGAGATGACCTGGAGCAGGCAGCTGCTTGGGGAAATGAGGTAAGAGAGTGAGGATTTCCAATTTTCCAGTGATACTAGGACTGAGATAAGGGGTCACAGAAGAGCAGTTGTGTAATAGGTAAAGCAGGAAGTAAGCAGTGGAAAAGAGCATTGAGGAAAGAGGAAGGGTATTTTCCCAGCAGAGACCACACACACTTTCAGAATTTCTATAGAACCCAGAAGTCGTAAGTGTAACTTGTCTACTTCATTTAGAAAATATCTACATAGTATTTTTTTGACAAAACCAATGTCTTATTGCATAGTTACTCTTTGGTTTCTAGCAAATTATGCACTTTGATAAAAAATATTGAATGAGCTTTGGTGGCAGAGAAAACAGGGTGAATAACATGAAGACCTGAATAGTGACCTCTGGACCTTAATTTTTCATAGTTCAGTAAAAACAGGAACTTTCCCTTCAGTTTTATATAATGTTTTAAAGAATTTTATTTTCCTCCTGTAAAAATCTCAATCTTTGTAAATCCTACAGCTAAGTTAGGAGACATTAGTGCAGTTAGTTGTTAAAAATGTAGGTGCACAGTGGTATCACAAGATTTATTTATAATAGAATCTTTTTAATCTGCATGTTTTACTTTCCTTACAAGCAAAGCTATTTCTCATTTCACAAGTGATATACACCTCTGTGTTATGTACAGATCATGTCTGTCTAGTACTAAAATGCCCACATGACTGAAATTACAAAGAACTCTGTTGCAATTTCATGGCTATTGGAATGGATTTCCAAACAGAATTTAGCAAAAGAAAATGGTCTGGAGTACTTTGTTTCTGTAGCCATCTGTAGAGGCAACTACTGTATCTATTTCTTTTAAACCTTTATGTTTAGGTGTAGATTGTTTGGTTTTGTTTTTTTTTTTGTTTGGTTGTTTGGTTTGTTTTGGGGGGGTTTTATGTGTGTTTTGTTAGGGGTTTTTTTTCCTTTTTTTTTTTTTTTTGAGGAGGAGGGGTTTGGTGGTTATTTTTTTCAAATTAGCAGTAACTAATATTTGGAGATGAAAATTTAGGGAAGGGGGAATTCTGCCTTGGATTTTGTAAAGATCAGATTTGTTTCAAGTAGTGATTTGTTTTCTGTCTTCTGTTTGTTTGATTGTTTGTTTGTTCCAGTTAGCATTACTTCTTGCTGATGAACTTTTGCAGTTATTTTTTAACCATTCTCTATTCAGTTGGTCACTGTAGAAATTAGGCCACTGCACCTGCAAAGTATGGTGTTATTTGATAGAGTGTATATAATGAAATTAGAAAATAGTAGCTGGGATAGAAAATGTACAATGTACAGATGTATGTTTCAGTGTGTTTGTATTATAAAGAGAGTTACAATAGTTTAAGATGACTGTGTCCAGAGTTAAACTGGTTCCTAGAACTGATGATAATTTTATTTTTGCCATCTGGTATAAATTCCTAAATTTATCTTAAAATTACTGATTGAAAATTAGTTTAAAGTTTCTTTTTTTTTTTTTTTTCTTTTTTAAATAAAGGAAATATTAAAAGCCAGTAACAATGATGTTATCTCTTCAGCTGGATTTTTTATTTATGATGCATTCTGTATAAACTTACATGAACTGAAAGACAAGGAGAGATTTTGGGGGTTCTAAAGATTTATGAATTTCCATTCTTGAAGAAATGCTAATATCTTAAGCACTTGTTTTTAAAATACTGTTCTGATCAAGACTGTTTCTTAAATTCATGTTAGGCATCACTCAGCTAACAGAGAGCTGCACATCTGATTTGTGAAGGCTTTAAAACTCCTCAAAACAGAAAGGGAAAAAGTACTTTTTATAAGAGCACAAAATCAGAAAGAAATCTAGGGGTTTGTGGTAACAAGTCAGCTCAGAGAACCCTGAATCTGTTAGAGATGTAAAGGCAGCTTTCTCAAAGCATCAACGAAGCCAACCACTCTCAAATGTGATGCTCACAGGATCACTGATTCCTTCCTGACTAGGGAGGGAGCTCGTTAGAAATGATGCTGAAAAGGGCGGCACAGAAAAATGTATCCATACATTTGGATGCCACTAGGGGTTAAGCAGCATCAAACAAATGGTTGAAGTATTTGCTAAATCAAAAATGTAGAAAAGATGACAAATTTTGGTAGGTTAAATGTAAAAACATGGTGAGGATGACAAAAAAGAAACACTAGCAATAAATTAATCAGCACATGACGAGCAGACAGCCCTGGCCGAGTGCATAGGCTTACGTGATGATTAAGTATATACACAGCATGTGAGAACAAAAAAAAAGGAATAGGAGAAAAGCAAAACAAAAAGTGAGAATGCAGATTAGATTGTTGAGTTGACTGTGAGAGAAAGAACAAAAGTACCCAGTCAATTGACTTTTTCCCTGAATAATCTGTCTGAAATGGAATTGCCAGTCAAAGAAGTTATGGGACAAGACACTTAGATAATTGAAGTGTTATCAAGCATTAAGATCCAAGTGCATTTCATCCAGGCTCTACCAGTTTTCTGTATTCTTGTATTTTCCCTAACTGTTAAATAGTTGGTTGCAATTTAGTTGAAGTTTTCAGAATCCTTTCACTAGTTTAGTGAATCCTTTCTTCTCTGTTTTGTCTGTGTTACAAGTTACAGATGCAAGAAGTCTGGGCCCAGACTTAACAGTTTTATCTTGTTTATTTGCCTCATTTGGTATAACCATCTGTGTCCAAGGTCTGTCATATACTTTGTGGCTGTTCTCTTGAGAATATGTAATGGTTTCTTCAATTGAGTATAAAGCAAATCACAAATAGCTGTCCATATTCCTTTTTCATTATATTCTCTCTGGGGAGTTTCAGTAATTTCTCTCATACTTAGATCCTTGAATATGTGCACATATATTTTGTCTTCATTTTATTCTATCAAAACTTTCTGTCAAAAAATTCCTTCCTTACATTTTTTAGTCACATTTGATTTGCATCATTTTATCATAGGCATTTTTGACCTACATACGCCATATGTAGAGAAAACATATATTTCATTGGATTTCTTAAACATTATTTGTTCTTCCATATTTGTAGATTTTTTTAAGCTAACTGTGGACTTTTACCTGTCAATAATTTACAAAACTTTCTCTTTTTAGAAGCTATAGCTATCAATATTACTAACATACTTCATTAGTATTTTTTCATTATTTCTAAAAAATATGTATAACTAGTGTAACAAAGTTTCTAAAGAGGAAAACAAACAAAATCAAACACAAAAAAAAGAAAAAAACTCCCATGTTTTCCATAAATAAATACTAATATAATTTTATTCTTCAGTGGACTTCATATGATTATGATATGTGCATATTCTACATACCATACTATGACCATAGCATACTGAAAGCTGTGATAAGGATTATAAAATAATGGCAGAATTCTGACAGTCATGACTGAATATTTTCTTTATTTATTCTACGTATATGATTAATAAAATATTTCTTAAAGTCTTTAATTCCTTTAATGTTTTCCATTTAAAGCCTGTTATATTTGCAGGAATAAAAAAAATATAATTTTGTGATTTAATGAAAATTTTTATAAAATAATGGAGAGAAAAACCTGATGAAAAGGAATTCTTTACTGTGGGAGTGGTGAGTCAGTGGAACAGGTTGCCCAGAAAAGCTGTGACTAGCCCATCCCTGGAAGTGTTCCAGGCCAAGTTGGATGCCTGGTCTAGGGAGAGGTGTCCCTGCCTATGGCAAGGGGGCTGGAACTAAAAGATCTTTAAGGTCCCTTCCAATCCACACCATTCCATGATTCTGTGCTAATTTACATTCATTACACCCTTCCACTCCTTTTTTTCCCTTTATTTGTAATATATGCATTTTCTAAAATATCACTGCTCTTTTGATTGAAGAATTGAAGAATGCAGCTGAATATGTTTTTCAGATCTTTTTCACTTCAGTAGTTTGTATTGCAGGGATTACCAATATCATAGCATCTCACTAGTGCCTAATATTTAACTTTATTCCAATTATGAACAGAGGAAAAATTTGTTACCATTAACATACTTGTTGGCATTTAGGAAAAAATGGATTTAATTTCTGGCTCCAACAAGAAAGAAGATCCTGCAGAAGGTTTGTTGTAGCTTTGTGTTCCCAATGTTCTTGCTGCATACCAGGAGGACTGTGAGGTTTGTTTTCAGCACCTCCTCACCTGCTCTGAGTGCTTTGGCTGAAGCACCCCAAGAGAGAAGGATCTGTTTCACTGAGAACAGTGCACATAGCGATGGCTTGGCTGTTCCTATGTGGCTGCTCTTTTACTCGGCTGTTACCTCAAGCAAATAACTCAAGTCTGGTATGAAGCCACTCTGCCTCTCTACACCCCTTTCCTAGGCTTCTAGAATATTGATGACATATTAGAAATAGAAACATTTTATTTACTTTTCATACTGCAAAGCTTTTTTAGTAATGTTGTATATAGAAATGAAATGTCTCTCTCTTTATTCCAGCTGCTGTGTGTGACTTTGAAAGAGAGAGCTGTGGTTGGATTGAAGCTGTAAATACAGATGAGTTTGACTGGGTAAGAAGCTCCAGCAATGCTCTTCCACCTGCATTTCAGAAGCAAGCTCCTCCACGGGATCACACCTATAACAAACCTGAAGGTAAGACAAGCCAGGCCTAGAAACAGAGAAGTGGAATAGATAAATCTTCTTCTTAACCAGATTTTAAGCAGAGGCTGTGAATGCTGTAAAAACCATTATAAACCCTTTATTTCTCTAACCTGAAAAGTTGTTTTTGGTTTTATTTTAACAGGTCATTTTATGTTCATTCTGAAGAGCAGCAACAGCATTTCACAAATAGCTCGGCTACGAAGCCCTAAGTTCAGGCAAACAGGATCAAATTGCACACTGTCCTTTTGGTATGAAATACTTTATATTTAAAATTCCTGGATTATCTCATATTGCTTCTCTTGGACTGAAATTGAGGTTATAGTTTGAAATAGATACATCTTTCTCTGAAGTATTTATTTCATTTTATTTTATTCTGTCACCATAGTCTTCATTGTAAATAATACAGATAAAGATGAAACACTTGCAGAAAAGCAGTGAAACATGACATGATGTTGTTGTCAGGCTCTGAGCAAAATTATAGTAAAGGATTGTGCCTGTATATACATGGGCAAATACCACAATCCTTTTGCTAACAATTCTTTGGTTAAGTAAATTTGAAAATGAGAATTTTCTTTAAAGAAAAGGAAAGCATTGAAAAATCTAATAGGTCCTTGAGTCACCTTGAGTATCCAAAATTAGACGTCATTATTATAAAGTAGAAGTTCCAGTGTCAGAATTTGTTCTTTACTTCCACTTAATTTTTCATATACACCAAATAAAACCACCAAAACAACACCCCACAACTAAAATCAACAATCAAACCCAAAAAATATTTTCAGTAATTGTCTTGTCTCAGTCTTTGTGCAAACTTGTCAAAGATAGGAAGAAAAAAATATAGCTTTGATAATTTGTTTACTAGGGCAAACTGGTGTTACTCTTTAAATAAAGGTTTGGCCTGACCTTGATTAAGAGCATTTTGTCTCAGTGATATCAAATACATCTGCCATAGGAAGTGGAACTGTCTTTTTATCCAAGATTCATGACTTGAAGTTGGATATTACAACTTGTTGGTTGTAAATGTGCTTCTGCTCCCAGTTTTGTTGTACTTAGTTTCCAACCTAAGTATTTGTCAGTTTTAAATGCTGAAAGCTTAGAAGGAAACATGTTAACAAAAACTAACATACATAGAAAGCATACTTATGCATTCAGTAGTTGTTCTGGTTTTCCTTCTTGAAACTGAATTAAATTTATAAAAATATATTTTGCATCTGAGCAGGCAGTGTTTTTTGCTGAATATAAAAGAAAATATGTCTGTTCAGTTCTGGGTTTCAGTTTAATAAAGTATGCTTCTTCTCTCAAAATCTTCAGTTCCTGAGATGAGGCCTAGACTGGTATAGCAGCCTGTCCTACCATCATTCAGAAAATGGATTGACTTTACAGGCCCTGTGGTCTTCCTATCTATCAGAGATACAACAGAAAAGATAGGGGTCATTGTAACTGATGTGGTCCATTTTCATCATTTGTCCACTTAACATTCTTATTTTTATCATTTTAGGTATTACAATTACGGAGAGTCAGTTGGGGCAGCAGAGCTGCAATTGCTTGTGGATGGGCTGGGACAGCCTACTGTCCTTTGGAGGACGTATTACAACGAGGGAAATCAGTGGCTGAAGGCAGTCATTCAGCTTGGACGCCTTCCACATCCTTTCCAATTTTCACTGGAAAAAATCAGTCTGGGTGTTTATGAAGGCGTCTCAGCAATTGATGATATTAGATTTGAAAACTGTGCTCTCCCACCTCCAGCATTAATTTGTGAAGGTCCAAATCGCTTCTGGTGCAGAGACACAAAAGCTTGTATTGACAGTTTATTGGTCTGTGATCTCGTGGATGACTGTGGGGATGGATCGGATGAAGACAACTGTGGTGAGTATTCTCCACCACACAAAAATTGACTTACCAATTCACCCCTGAACTAAAAGAGCACAAAATTACTACAGCCGGTAATGATTCCACTCAGTATAGTTAGACATAGAACAGAATGATAACTTTAAACTTAAATGCATATGGTGAGTTAAACTGAGGGTAAATGGAATTCTATTTCCTTTATCCAAAGCAACTCTATTTCTTTATCTTGTGTAAAACACAAACATTTGTAACAAATTTATTTTAAAGGGGAAGATGTAAAGTCAAGGTGCTATCTTTGATTTTACTGACAGAAGTACAGAAATACTGATGGACTGAGAGGAGTGTATGTCCTACTTCTTCTTAGGACCTATATTCTTCCTATCAAAAAAAGTTTAAAATATCTATACTAAAGATAGGAGGTATGCTGAACATATTTGTCCCCTTCAGAGGAAGCACTTGAACATACTGAGGAAAGCTATGAGTTGTTCCCATTTTTGACATTCACCTTGAGTGCTGAAGGGTGCCGTTGATAGTTTTTCCCCTGAAGCATGCATTCATCAATTTTAAGAACTCAAGAACATTAATATGAAATAAAATTAACTAGCATTTACTTTATCACTTCCTGAGGTAACTGAATTATGCAAATCACAATCAGTTTGAGAATGGGGGGCACCTTACATGCTCGAGGTGATATCAGTCTGCAGCAATAATTGCTGAATATCAACTTAGAACTGCTGTAAATTTAAAAGAAAGTGAAGGCTTTACAGCTTATCTTAGTTTTCTTATTTGTGGAATGCCTAGCTTATTTATAACCTATTTTGAGGTCTACGATAAGGTTTGAGTTGCAGTTTTAACCACCATTAAATGCAACAGCTTAATTTAAAAAAAAATGCTATAATGTCAGTTACTGCTTATTAAAAGCAGATACAAAGTTGGAATGCAAGTTCATCACCTATGACACATTTTATTTATATTAGAAGTAGGTTATACAGTTTTGCCTTGGTGTCAAATAAAAAAATGCAGTTGTATTATAAATACTTTGATTTAGCCCTGATAAAATTATCGTGTTAATATTATTTAGGATAATAAAGATCTAAACCCCAATGTGTTTTTAGGACTACATCTGCCAAGCAAAAATACATTAGATCATTTATCACAAATACCTATAAGACAGTATGGTGTGGTTTATTTCATTCAATTAACCTCAATTTTAACTCCTTTGATCTGTTCACTTTCAGTGAAAGAACTTCACAGTCTTTAATTTCAGTAATACATAAAATTAATGACATGGGTACTTTTACTCACATTTCTGTTTATTCAATAAATTAAGTACAATTTGACAGATATATATTGGAAATATATATTTGTAAGGATAAAAAATATGTAAAAGCACCATTCCCTTTTGATACTGCTTTTTTATTTTTGACATTCTGTTCTCTTTACATTTCAGACCCTGACCTACAGTGTAACTTTGAAAATGGGCTGTGCAATTGGGAGCAGGATGTTCAGGATGACTTTGACTGGATCAGAATACGGGGTCCAACCCCCACAGTCAATACAGGCCCGTTAAAGGATCACACGACAGGCACAGCCAGAGGACACTACCTTTACCTGGAGTCCTCTGAGCCACGCCTATTCCAAGATAAAGCAGTTTTGCTTAGTCCTCTCTTCAACCCTTCTGGCTATGGAACCTGTGTTTTCCGCTTCCATTATCACATGTTTGGAAAAGAAGTTTATAAGCTGTCAGTCTTCCAAAGAACTGTGAGTAATGCTAAGGGATGGCTGTTGTGGTACAAGTTTGGAAATCAAGAAAACAGATGGATCAGACAGACACTCTTCATCAGCAGTTCTAAGCCATTTCAGGTATGATCCTTCTAAGTTTTGAAGTGTTTATTTGCTGCATCATAAAACACTGAGTGTATATAAATGACTGCACAATCTCAAAGCTATTCGTAACTGTCTGATCAATTTTGCTTCGAAGTATGTTTGTAGGGTTTTTTGAGGAAATATGTACAATATTTTTGGTTTTGTGGTTACATTAACTTTTCCCTCTAAACCACTTAATTTTAATATTTTGAATATGTGTTATTTAAAATGGATACTGGTTTTATTTTTCAAGGATTTGGTGAAAAAAATATTATCCAAATCTACTACAAAATAATTTGATTCGTTAATTCTGTTCAAAAGAATATCCTCTGCTTTGCCTTATTTTTAAAGAGTTACAAATTAATTTTTAATTATATAATGCCAGAAAATATATCAATGCCAAATATTTGGCTGCCAGGTTAGACTAAGAGTCAAAAATTTCATGAAGAAAGAGATGATTAAAGTAAGTTACAGTTATAAGCCTTGACTTATATTCTTCTCTTTTAAATATTGTATATGTTATTTATCTTTGATTACGTGTGGTCTGTTTATTCCAGTTGGGATATACTGCAGGGTTATTAGAGGTAACACTGGTTTTCTTGATTGTCAACTGGTCCTAAAATTACCACCCTCCTCTCCCCACCACCACATTATAAAAAGAAACATCTTCAACCTTCATTTGAAATCTGATAGAGTGCAATATTTTCTTTAGATTGTTCATTATTATTTCCAAAAACACTATTTTTAAGTAGAGAGAAATCTATTTTGGAGGTAAGTAGATTGTAGGAAAAGGCATTCATATTACTCTGGATGCAAAGAGGCACATGGAATGAGAGTGTTCATTTTCTGTCAAGACCTTTTGTAAAAATATGAAGGAATATAAACATGATGCTATCAAAGCTCCCTTTTCTTCCATTCCCTGCCCTTCCCTGCCCTCGCTGTCCCTTCCCCCATTTATTGGTTTATCTAAAATTGCTCTAAACCTCTGTATCCTGTATTTGACCTCCTGAGAGTTAGGAAGGTCTATTCAGTAACAGAAATGTTTTTCATGTATTAGTGTTGTAGGGTTTTCTGTTGTACTTGCACAGTTCTGTGCAGGGAATTTCAAAGATCTTATTTTTATCTATTTTTGTTTCTTATAGTCATTTTTGTGGAGTGTGAGGTGAAAGTTTGATTGTTTTGAAGAAAGAGATCAAGATCTGATGTTCATTATTGTGTATTGTGTATCTTATAATGGAGTTTGCTGTGTCACAACCTACAACACTTTAAAACTCAGAAGTTTTGAAGAGAGCAAGTTGTGTTCTGTTTCTTCTAAGCTGCCAAGTGCTGATCTCTTTCCAATCTTTTTTCCTCTTTCTGAACTTTCTTTTAAGTGTATAGTGTTTAAATACTCTATATTTCAAGTATTTCTACTGAGATTTATACTACAACAGTCTCTCAGTTGGTTTTAGGCTGTCCCTAGGCTGTGTAACTGTATTAAAGTTGTAGCTTCTATATTTACTAACTGTGTTCACCACACCCCATAAACTTAGAGTTTCACTGCTTCACACCACATGCTTAAGGTCTTGTAGGTCACCTCAATGCTTCAAATGAAGTGTTTAGATTCACCTGAGAATGGATTTTTTAAAATGGAAGTCTGAAAACAAGATAGAACTTTAAAACAATTTTCTGGTCAAAATACAAGTCTTGGCTTCACAATCTTCTCTGTCTCTAACCAGAGCATCTTGTCAGCTATTACAGGATTTTCAGAGATTCCTAGTGAATAGAAAATGTTAGACTCTAGGACCAAAGATAGTCCAAATGTTTGTCAACCAGACTTCCATTTTGCTTTTTCTCTTCTAAATGTGTGAGATAATTATACATCTGAGATGTGTCCTCTTCCTCTTTCCTCCCTATGTAAGTAGGTCATTTGTTGACCCCAGTTGGAGAAATAATCACTATAAATAATAAATCCCTCAATTTACCGTTTTCAGTTTATTTGCTAAGCATGAGAAGCCAGCTTTGGGAGTATATAAATAATTGTGCCTATACAACAACTCCTTCAAAAAGGAGGAATTGTCAGCCAGAAATTCAAAGCAGCAAAAAAAAGCATTTGAGAACCTCTTGAAAGTCAGATTCTCTTTTGCAAGTTTTGAACTCTATAGGTATGAAACTCTAGGCCCTTTAATTGAATGCTCTGGCAGAAACCCAAAGGCAACAGCAGATTTCCTTGGTTCACACCCACTCCCAATAAACCTCGGAATCTTAATTTTGTTGAGAAACCTTTGTTTTGGTTGCCATTAATCCATGGTGATATTTGTTGCTGTTCCATCAGAAGTTTCCCACCTGAGTGTTAAATGTGACATCATTGAGAACTGTGGGAATAGCTGGAGGAGGAAAAGGTAAATTCAGAGCTAAACTATTTAAACTAAAGGAACGCAGTTTTCTGAGACAAAATTAAGAACCTCTGTCAAATACTACTACTGACAAGTGTTGAAAATATTCCCAAATACACATGCTTTTAAAAATTTTGCAGCTTTATTGATCTAGAATTTTGCTTCCTCTGCAAGGAATATTATCTACAACTAATGATACAATTTTCTTAATTGGAAAAATTCAAGTTAAAAATAAATTTCTTGTAAACTATTCCTTTTAATTCTATGGGATACTTGTTTCAACATGAAAAAAACCACTGTTGAGTGTCCTTGTGTCTTTACTTGTTCTGAATTTATTTTCATCCTGAGAAGTTTACTTACATGTCTTTTCGTTAGATAAACACTTGAAAAGGTAGTAAAATAAGATTCTGTCCATGGTAACCTACTCATATTGATGATGAATAGTGTTTGCTTTTATCTTCTTCAGAATAACCATATCTGAAATAGTTTCTGCTCAGAAGAAGGTGCAAAGACTCTATTTTAACATTTTTGAAAAATTTTACTCTCTTAGCTTGCTCTATTTATTCATATTTCTGATGATATAGAAAGGAAGTGATGATATGTGAAAAAGGGCAAAATTCCATATTTCAATCCTTTTGGGCACTGTAGTCTCCTTTTTGTCATGATAGAAATCACATACCTATCGAGTCTGTCTTAAGAGACCTAATGCAACTTTACGATATTGCAAAACATATTATTAAAAAAAGAATCATTATCTTTAACCCAGTACAGTTATTCCCTTTTTGCCCATGCAGTTTACACATTTATCTCTGTAAACAAAGATGGTTATAGATCTTTGATACTGCAAAATTTAAGTAGTACATTAGCGAGTCTATAATCATTTTGTGATGATTTCATGAAGGTCAGTTTTGCATTTTCTTAATTGGCTCTTATGAAATTTAAAAATGCAAATACAATGTTTAACTCCATGGTTAGCTATTAATGCTATATTTGGTTTTGTTACTAAACATTTTAGTATTCTGAGTATCATATATAAAACCTTACTTGTTCCTTCAAATATAAAAGTTTCTCCATTTAAGTGTGAAAAATAAGGACTAAAATCAGAAGAAAAGAAATAATGCAAAATAACATTGCAATTAAGTAGATGTAAAATGCATTTGACAATTTTCTTATTTTACAAGTGGTTAAGAAAAGTAAACAAAAAATCCACTATAATAATTTTTATCTTTTTATCAATTAAGTATTAACTTAGAAAGTAATAGAATATTGATTGAAAATTAGAATGATACATTTGCTATGAATATAGAATAGCCCTATGTTCCGTGAACACAAATATAAAACAACATTCTTTCTCCAATGATTATTTTTATCTGTTGTGCTATTTTTTTTTAATATACAGATACTTGTATTATGGTTTCTGTTATGACTTTGGCATATCAGTTTCATATCAAATACATATGTGGTGAGCATACATCTTTTACACCCAGGCTCTTGTCATTCATATTGTCAAGATAAATAGGAAGTCCTAAAAGGCGTACATAAGGTACTAAGCTGGTTAGGTTACAATAACATCGGCTGTTCTGCTTTTTCACCCTTTACTCTTCCTTTTCACTCCTCAGTGAGATGAGATAGCAGTTGTTCTTTGGGGATTCTGATTATCTGCTCTGTAATAAGTGAAACAGCATCACAAAAATCACTCTTCTGTTATTTCTGCAATTCTTGCTGTTTCTTGCAATTACTTTTCTGAGGAAAGAAAGGATTGATCAACACCCTCACCTCACCAGCCATTTCTGTAATGAAAGACTCAGAATTCTTGAGGTAAATGGAAATTTTAGTGTAATTACATTTTTAAAACTATTTTTATAGTGGTTTGGGGTTCTGCTTCAAACAAGAGTCCACTGTGGCAATTTTTGAGGTTTCAGAATGTAAGGTTTTTCTTTCATGCATTTCTAGTGGTAATAATAGCACTTCATACATGAATAGTACAGGGGGACTTATGGTAAACTAAATACCCTTCTTACCTATTTAAGACAAGATAATGACTCACTAGTCTTCTTTGTTAGTTATAATATCCTTTAAGTAAGAACAATAACAATTTCATTTCCTACATAACAAGCATCAGAACTATGGAAATTACAAATTTAAATCTTGTATCCCATTTCACAGCCCCTCAGAGAGAATAACTTAATAGTGTTTGTAACATCAATAGTTTTGTAGACTTGTGTGAATTTTTCAGTCTTCTCTAGTTAATTGATAAGCATCAGACTGGTATATTCCGGAACATGTATCTGATGAAATTTAACCAAACTTCTTTACCTGCAACTTCTCTGGAAAAGTGTGCATTACTTTTTGTTGTCCCAGGGAAAAGTATTATTTCCTAGTGTGGAAAGCACAGGAAGAAAGAAAACAAATCAAAGTAATTGTGTATTTACCCTTATTTTTGGAACATTAAACTGGGAAGAAAATGGAAATGTTTGACCCTTTCTCGAACACTTGGGTAAACTGTGTTCCTTTCAGAAAGAAAGTTGCTTGAGATTTAGCAGAGAAACATCGAATTAACAGTGCTAAAAAAGCTTTATAGAGAAAGATCATTAGTGATTTTTCTATTAGGGAATAGAGACA